TTTAATTTTATGGCCATGTCAATGGATCCCTTGAACCTAATTATCTCAACATCAAAAATTCCTCCTCATGAGACATTCGCCAAGTAACTCAATCATAATAACTCAGAACACTTTTCTCATAAATCCTTATTAAATAATAATAAATGAATTAGATAATCATAACCTGCTCAAAAAATCAGGTCAAATATTCCAAAAAGGTCAATCAACAGGTGTTGTACCCCAAAATTTGCCCTCACTATTTCTAATCCTAGTTGGTTTTTGCTTCTCATTCATATGCATCTCCATTAGGTCATGAACTCAATCATCCATTTTCAAAAGCTATTAAAGCATTGGATCAAGGATCACACCTCAAGGGTTTTTCATTTTTCTACAAACTGTAGCTCGTGTGGATACAAGATCATCAAGTTCCATTTCATCACAAAAACCAAAGGAGGGTCTTTGGTCAAGGTCAACTTGACATTGACTATATCATGATCTCATGGCTCAACACATGATTCAAGGGTTTTGAACACTTCATCATGGTCTATTCTTATGATTCTATTGGATGGAGAAGCTTGAGATATTGATAATTGAAGATTTTGATTCAACTGCCAAAAATTCAACTAAGGCCCAAAGTCAAGGTTTGACTTTTGAGTTGTTGTTCAACCATGAGCATTTAAGGTCAAAAGTCATAAAAGTATGAAGTTTGATCAAGTTTCACTAAGAGAAAACTTGAAAATCAAGAAAAGTTCAAATTTGAGAAGTTTGAAATATTTAGTATCAAAAATCATGCTCATTTAGTCAACTTTTCAAGATTGTGGGGTTTGACTCAAGCATTCAAATTCAACAAAAAAAGGATGCCATTGAAGATCTCATTTGATACTAAATATTGGTGGAAGATTTGAACTCAAAAGCTTCTTATAATGGGGAGATATTGGTTGCTAAAGTCAAGGTTCCAACTTTGTGCAAAATTCAAAAAGACTTCGAAATTTTTTTAAGTTTCAGACAGTTGTGGTGTCATAACTTTACACCAATGGATCTTAACACACAAGCATCTTCTCAAATTTTTTCCAATATGAAAGTTGTACATGGGCAATATACCTTTACAAGGATATCAAGTTTTCCCCAATTAGTTCATCGCACCTCAAGTTATATCCTCCCAGAGTAGCCAGAGTAACATGTTTTTGGGTCATGGACATCAATTGCCACCAAGTTGAGTATGATGGTAGGAGTTCACAAAGTCAGAATTATAGGTCCATTTTGAGATTGAAGGTGTTCAAAGTCACTCAAAACTTAAATTACAATGATTCATGATATCCATTTTTTCCAATTTCAAAGTAAACACAAAGTTATGGCTCAAGTTCTAGAGCATATCAACACACCAAGTTCAATGCAACATTTATTTTAACCCAACCATCCATTCAAGTTAATTCCAAATGTTTTTGTCCTCCTCATGGCCTATTTTATAAAACATTAAGAGTTAGCCTAAATGAGTTAGAATTAAGCATGTGAGCTATTGACAAAACACGTGAAAACTCATTATGCATGAGACAAAACAGATATGACAAAAGGGAAGAATATTATGGATTGAGGACACCTCATCATTCCCAGTCATTTCCAAATGATCAACAATCATTTCCAATCAAAAGAGCACGTGCTTAGCATCTCCAACAGGTCAAATGCAGAGCTGGCAAGATTGTTAGGGTGAGTGGACCTCGCGCACTCAATTTCAGAATTCTAGTTTAAATCTCACGCTCTTAATCTTCATACATGATCCCTTTATAAATACAAAGCTACCTCAACGCCATTTGCAAGCCTTAAGAGTCGGGTTTACTTTGCTCAGATCATGGTGAAACTACTCTGAAACTTGATTTGGTTGGAAGAATTCGTGAAGATTTAAACTTCATTCTTCACCCAGATCTCAAGTAGGAAGTTCAAGGAAGCTATAGCAAAAAGAATCGGGCCAAACAAAGCTCTGAAGAGTGAGAACAAAGTTCATATTCAAGCAACACTAATCAGTTTTTGTGCATGTCCACTTCTTCACCATTTCTCACGACTCTTGTTACAAATCCATGCGTATTCATGTGATGGTCATTAGCCCTAATCTAATTGCCATTTATATTGCATCATCATTTAATTTTACTTTTTCCAGTTAGGGTTCTTGAGTTGTTTTGTGAATTTATTTGTATCTTGATATTGTTTGTGAAATGTAAGTGTATAGTTTGATTCCTAGTGTGATCACGGTTCTATTGAGTATTTGTTTGTGCATTTTCATGGTGAATTGTGGAATCACGATTTGAGGCAGCTTGAGGAAGATGATGATTGCCTCATTTTCATGTTAATTCATTTTTTAATTACTTTGAATTAGTGACTAGTTATGCCACGTGTGTGATTACTGTGTTGATTGTGTATTAAGTTGTATGTTTTTTGAGTTGAGGTGAAGCATGATGGAGCCTCTCATCATGACCTTTGATTATGGATAATGTTGAGTCAGCTAGATCCAACGGTGGAGTGAGTTTTGATCAGATGTGTTGGATCTAGCTTGTGTTGTTGTGATCTGCTGATGATCCACCATAGTTCCTTAGAGTATGAGGTTATTGGGCTTTTTTTGGTGCGTTGGGCCCTTATTTTTTGCTAATGGACCCCTGTTCTTTCTATTTCACCTCCACTTTACTTTTCTTCTAATTTCTTCATTTCAAATGATTTTTTAGATTTTCTTTTTTTTAACATGACTCAAATTTAACCCTCTTGCATTATAATTGATTCATTTTCTGTTTAGGGTTTGTTTGGATTAAGTTGATGATTATTTGGATGCTTTTTCACTTTATTTTCAATATGTTTAATCATGTAAATAGAAGTAAGTTTTAGAACATATGAACCTTGATCTTAATTGTTTAATACTTGGTCTTATTTTTGGTTATGATTAAATGTTAGTTAGTAGTTGTTGATGCATCTCTTGATTTCAACTTTGACTAATTTCTTTGATTTTTATTCTAGATTAACCTTTTAATTAACTTTGATTAATTTGGTTGATTTTAATTGTGCTTTATTTCTTCTAGTTGTTTCGTGATTAACTCATCACATGACCATATCATATTACATTATATATATTAATTCTTTTGCTTTGTTTTGTGAGGTAACACTTAAGAAACTTCACACATTTGGGCATTTAGAACTTTAATCATGTTGTTTTACTTTTATAGTTCACTCCATTCATTTCCTTTTATGCCTTAGATTAGGTCTCTCCCCTGGGTAGGTTTCTCATACTTCCCCCCTCCCACTTATAATATAATAGTGTAGGATATTTTATGCTTGTATGGTTGGATTCTTGCTTGATTGTTAAGAAAGATAAAAACGAAAGCGTTTAGAAAACAATTTCAAAATAAAGATAAATAAGACTTGATCCAATGTCAAGCCACTTTTCAAACTTATTAACTTGGATTATTTCTCATACCTCACCTTAGGGTTCCCCCACACTTCCCATTTACCCTTGACCAATCATTCCATTAACCCCAAGCAATCCTTGTATGCTTTCACTATAAGTCGATCTCCTTGCACATCATCGTCAACCTACCCTAAGCAAAAACCTTGATCTTGCACCAAGTTCACTTTAAAAACTCTTTTTTAATAAACTTGGAATGTTTGTGGAATGGTTAGGCGAATGCCTTGTCCTATCCCGAGTGTTTGACATTGTCGTCAGAGTTTACTGTCTAAACACTTATCTTCCAAAGTAAAATACCTCTAAATAAAATGAATAATATCCTCATTGTATTGAACTAAAAAGAGAGGACTGAGTGAAGACTTATTCCCCTCCGAGTATTAGGATGCTCACCTAGAAATAAGACGTGACCATAATAGCCACAACATTTTCAAAGCAAATCTTTTGAGATAAACAATTGGGTACTACCCGCAGGGATTCCTATCCGAGAACTTATTTCACCCCTAATATCAATCATCACAAATCAAATGTGACATCTTTCTTTGATGGTGAAAACCTAATCCTTTTCAAAAAGGGTAAGTTATTTCCATCCTACCGCATAACAGGCTAAAACATAAGTCTTCTTGCGTGTGAGTGGCAAAACCTATTACTAGGATGTGAATGTTAACATCATCCACTAAAAGAAACTAACTCGTAGTTCCACGAACTACGAATGCTCTAATTCTTCATTCGTCAAAGAAGATATGTAGGCACGAGATTGTGAGATCTTGGTGAGCAACCTTCTTTCATAATCTTATTTTCTTTTCGCCTTTAGTTCTGCAAACTACGAGGCTCTGACTTCCTCATTGCACCATGAGGGTACGTAGGCACGATGGCCACAATCCTCCATGAGCATTTTGTTTCTAAACCATTTTTCCCTTTAAGATAACATTTATAAAAAGCCTAAACCCTTAGCAACATCCTTACTCATAAGACAAACGAATGGTTCCCATCGAGTACGATAGATGTTAGGGGTGCTAATACCTTCCATTTTCATAACTAGCTTCCGAACCCATATTTTGGTTGCGAGACCATCTTATCTTTCCTCTTGGGGTCTTCTCGGTGTTTTCCCTTCCCTTTGGGATAAATAAAGTTCGATGGCGACTCTATAATTTATTGTGTAGCGATAACAAGGATGACAGTTAGACTACCACAGACATGATGTTCATCGCCCTCTAGGTGTTCTATCTGTCATCACTGAAGGCTTGGGGAAATTGTGATCGTCATGAGGTACTGACAATTGGAGCGACATATGTCTCACGCCTGTGATCACTGGCGATTTGGCATCTTTGTCCCCGACAGTGACAATTGGTCTTTCACATAGGTGATACCCATCACCGCTGCATAATACAATTTTATGTGTTTTTTCCATTGAGGTCGCTATAGATCTCAATTTCATCAATTGATTTCACACTAGTAAAACATCCAAAACTCGATTTACACATATAATAATCGATTGCAAAAACAAAATATCAATTTAACATAGAGTATTCTTAGACTCTTAATGGGTCCTTGAAGATGCTCTGCTAGGGTTTAAAGATCCATGGGTAAAACGGGTGTTGGCCGGCCAAAAACTCAGGCGGAGGCACGCCAGAAAGGGGTGGAAAGGGAAATCATTACACAAGCAATTGTAGAACATGTCCAAGAAGTTGAAATAACAAAAGTTGATGAGAAAGTACAACCAAATATGCCACGGGAGGTGATACAACTGAGTCTGATGCGCAATGAAGAATCAACTCCGGTGGAGATGCTATCTGAACTGAAAAAACCACCTGCATAGAAGCAGAAGTGAAATTGAAGCCCTGGGTGGATATAGTTCAAGGTAATAGAAATCTAAATCGTGGAATAACAGTCGAATTTGTAGCTCCTAAGATTGTGAATGGCGACATCAAAATTGATATTAAAGAACCGGATGTGGATGAGGAATTATAATTCTGGGAGAACTCGATAATCCTCTTCTCATTGGATGAAACTCTTTCGATGAATGAAGTGAAGAAATTCATGGAGAAAACATGGAATTTCGTTGCGCTATCAGATATCTACTACAATGAAGAGGGGTATTTCATTATGAGATTCAAGAACAAGCAAGATAAGGAGAATGTGATGGTGTTAGCTCTTATTTTCGACGCTAGTGAAAGTCAGAACCATCTTAAGTCAAAATGTCACTTTAGCACATGTGAAGGTTTCGACACGACTATGAAGAAATCCGACTCGAAGAAAGGTGGACAAAGTTTCTAAAAAAAATACTAAGTGTTGGAAACATTCTCGACCAAGATCATGCTGAAGGGAGCGCAAGGCAGTTATTATCAAAATTGGAGGGAATTCTTAATATCTAAATTCAAAGTGATAGTGGGTGAACGTGGAAGAAGTTGAAGACTGAGAAAAGCTCCAAAAAGACACGTTGTGAAGCCTCAGCCGTCATCTAAGTGGTTACTTTCTAGCACTATAAATAGGTGTTATTTTTATGTAATAAGGGTGTTCATTCATTTTTGTACTAGTCACTCCATACAACCCAAAGTACCCGCGTGTAGAGAAACGAGTTAGGGAGAATGTACATGATACAACACCAACCCCTTTTTCTTAATGCAATTTACCCGTTCTTGCCATTTACTTGTTGCCCTTTAACCTTCAGCTTTTACATTTAAACTTTTTTACAAGCTTTCCCTCAATTTAAAAATTCCTTTACTTTCCATACCATTTAACTTTTATGCACCTTTATTTTTAAGGATCCCCTAGTCGAACATGGAGTTCAGATTAACATCTTTTGCACCTTTAATATTAAAATTCATTTACGTTCAAAACCCTTTATTTTTCAAAGATTCCATAGTCGAACGCGGAGTTCAGATTATAGTATTTGGTACATTTACATTATTCCCTTTATTTTCAAAGTCATTTACTTTTAAAAGCTTTTACATTACTGCACTTTTACATTCTTGCCTTTTAACCTTCGACGCATTACTTGCTTTCTTTTAACCTTCAAGTCATCTTACTTTCCAAAAGATTTCATAGTCGAACATGGAGTTCAACTTAGGGTCTTTTTGCATACTTAGCACATGTTCTAGGATTTAGTATAGTTGATCCTGCAAGTTAGTCAATTTTACCCTAAATTGATAGACCAACGGTTGTTTACCAAAATTCACAGTAAACAAATTGGCACACTTGGTGGGACCTAGTGCTAAGCATTTCAAAGTTTACATTAATCTTTTGGGCTAGTACTTCGTTGTATGTTATTAAGGAGCGGAAAGTTAGCCACAACACACGAAGATGTACCAAAAAGAAGATACACTAAAAGAATGGCAACAAGTGCTAATCAACAAGTTGATCCTCAAGGAAGCATCTCAAATGCTCAGTCGAGCATGGGGTCTCAGAATACTCCATATCCAGTTTCTTCAACGGGGGGGAGGGGGGCAGATGCCACTACCAGTAGTAGTGTCTGAACAAGTGCATCCCATGGGGAGTCCAGGATCAACATGTGTACGAACGTACATTCAACCTGTGTTGGAATATGTAGGACCCCAAAGTCCTAATTCGCCAACACCCCCAGGAAGTTCAATATACAGGCAAATTCCTCCTTCAGGTTTCTCACAACCATTATCAAGGTACCAACCATATGGTATGCCTACGTCAATAATACAGAATTTGCAGAATGCTCCATCCATATTTTCAGAAAATATGGTATCCTCGCCAGTATAAAGAGTTGGGTTAGGTGGTCGAAACAACTAGAGCATAGGTGTTGGTTACTTTGGGCAAGCGCCTAGTCTTACGAATACATCTATAAACTGCTTAACACAGTAAATGGATGAAAGTAATATGCAAATGGTGCACACGTTGTCTCAGACAATGGGAGAGATCTTTCAACCTCTAATTCAGAATACTACTCAAACTAATCAGTAGGTGGCGACGCAATTAGCCCGTATGGTTGATTTTATGGGAGTACCAACATTTGAGCAAAGAGAAACAGTTATCGAGAACATTCCACGATATCAGCAAAGGAACGTCCATGAGGCGAATATAGAGGACCAAGAGATGAGAGAACCTTTTAGAGTCGAACCACAAAGGAACCAGGTACCAGCCCATATGGAGGAAGAACCAGGAATAGTCATGGTGAACAGAAATCAGAATGTTGACAAAATACTTAGACAAGTTCGACGTCACGGTGCAGCAGAAGAGAATAACCTTACAGCTATGGTCGAAAGGATAATGACCAGAAATGGAGCAAACTTTGGCTTTACAAGGCCAAATTATACTTCACCTATAGTGGATTATATTTTGCAGGCTGAGTTACCTCCTAGGACGAAGATTCCAAAATTTAGTAAGTTTGCAGGGGACACTACTGAATCAACTGTCGAACATGTGGCTAGGTACATGATCGAAGCAGGAGAGATAGCTGGTGACGAGAGCCTTAGGGTCAAATACTTCCTAAGTTCTCTCACAAAAAATGCTTTTACATGGTTTACTACGTTGCCTCCCAATTTAGTTTACAATTGAGCCCAATTAGAGCGTTTGTTTCAAGAACAGTTCTATATGGGGCAAACCAAGATTAGTTTGAAGGAATTGGCTAGTATCAAACGTATGGGTACTGAGCCAATTGATGATTACCTGAATAGGTTTCGACTTCTTAAAGCCAGGTGCTTCACGCAAGTTCCAGAGCATGAACTATTCGAAATGGCTGCAGGGGGCCTAGATTATTCCATTAGGAAAAAATTGGATACCCGGTATCTCAGAGATATGGCGCAGCTAGCTGACCGAGTTCGACGCCTAGAAAGGCTAAGAGAAGAGAAAACTAGGTTCAGCAAGGGGAAAAAAGTAGCTTTCGTCGAATGTAACGAAGATGTAGAAAATCTGTATGATGAAACACTTTACTTCGACGAGCATGAGGTTGACGTTGCTGAATTAAAGCAGGGTTCACCTTACGCCTGTAAACTTTTAGCTCCTTCAAATGGGAAAAACCCCATTGAGTCTAATGACAAATTTCCCAAAAGAACATATACTTTCGACGTGATAAAGTGTGACGAAATCTTTGACTTGTTAGTTAAGGATGGACAAATAATAGTGTTTGCTGGTGCTAAAGTGCCTCCTTTAGAACAAAGAAAGAAAAGAGGTTTTTGTAAGTACCATAATTTCTTGGGTCATAAGACTTCTCAATGTTTTATTTTCAGAGATCTGGGGCAAAAAGCCATTCAGGAAGGAAGGCTGAAGTTTGGAGACAAGGGGAAGACTCAAATGAGAATTGATTTTGACCCATTGCAAGCTCTAGAAGCTAACTATACAGAACCTGAAGAAGTTCAGATGGTCGAGGCCATTGAAGAGTCTCCAGTCAACATGGCGGAACTCACTAAGAAATTCTCCACCAAACTTGAGACGGTTGAGGTGATTGACAGCTGTAACTCAAAATCAAAGAATCAAGAAAAAACTGATGGTCATAACTTGATGCTGGTAACCAAGAAGATTGCTGAAGAATTCGTTTAATTCGACAAAACTGCTAAAGAATCAGATGTGGCAGAATAAGAATTGGAACGAAACACTGCTGAAGGAATTAATATGGTTGAAGCTGACGAAGAATCTGATGCTAGTACTGATAGTGTCAGCACCAATGAAGCGTTAGGTAGAAAAGTTCCCAGGGTCCAAGTGATCAAGAAATTGGAGAATAACATGTTGTTGGTGGGAGAAATGATTGAAATGGATGGTTGCCTGCTAGAAAACTGGATATGCATGGCAGCAGAACGGTACTTCAACATCTCCCCTGACGTTGAGAGATTCAACGCTGAAGATTCAAGTCAGATCAAAGACTCCAAGGATACTGAAAACCTAGGAGTTCACTTGTCTAAGATGAAGCTCGAAGATACGGTTGATGTTAACATAGTTGAGATCACCAATCAAAAGGTCGAAGAGATGGGTGAAGCAGGAAAGCTAGAGGAACCTAAAAAAGTGGTGTACCCCATGCAGGAGGAAACCATTGTTGACTTTCTCCATCGTTGCCAGAAGAATGGATCAGGAGTAATGATATGCCCCAGGTGCAGCGCCATTTTTGATGAGAAAGTTGCTCACGACTTAGAAGAAGTCAAAAAGACTAGTGGAAACTGGGGGGAGAAAATGAACCAGGGCCCAAGAAATCTTGATCCCAAAAACCCCTCGATGGGGATAAAGACTCCAGCTAAACCTAACACATTTAAGCCAGCTGGAAACCTGCCAACAGGAAACTAGATTAAACCCGTTGAAGGACAAGGGCGGAGGAAATGGAAAAAGTTTGACATGGAAAGGGGTTCCTCATTCGAGTATCTAAGAGAGAATCATACCACTAACAAATCAGCGTACATCTCTCAGAATTACAAAGTGAAAACCCTATGACCAGGTCTCAATGGCGAAGGGAACAACGTAGGCGAAAAGCCATTAGAGAAGCGCAGGGACCAAAACAGGGGGAGTCAAGTACTAACATTGGCAATCAAGGTGGAAACACTGAGAGGATGCCTATAAGACGAAAGTTGTTTGACGATCGAAAGAACCAGCCAGTCAGAGACGTTGAAAACGATGAAGATATGACGGATAACTTCGACAGTGAATCAGCAGCCTCCTTGGACATCATAGTAAATGTCGTATCTGTCATGCCTAGAGAGTTCGGCCAGGTCATAGAGGTAGACGATGTGGATCAAAATACTGATATGGAAATGCCGGCACACAAGCTTGTATGTTATTATATTATGAACAATGGGTGCGTAGAGGAGCAAAATGATTTCTTCGAACGTCCTACAGAGGCTATGAAGGGTCACTTGAAGCCTCTTTATGTCACTGGAAATGTGGAGAACGTCCCTATCAACAAAATACTAGTGGATTGGGTGCAACGGTGAAACGAAGTTACAAGCGGCTCTGGAAGCTGCTAATAATCACATGGCTGGTGAAGCCATTTCTGAAGTTCACCAAGAATGTCCCATGGAGGACTTCAATATAAAATCTCCAGATAAGATCCAAGATGGAGAGCAAAGCCAAAGACTCGACGCCATTTATGAAGATGAGCCTTTGGGGTTTGAAAAAGATTCGTTAGCAAACAGTGTCAAGATGTTGGAATAAGATCCTTTAGAAGAAATAGATCTTAGTAAGGGGGCAATCAAGAGGCCTACATACATCAGTGCCAATTTGAACCCCCAACTAAAGGTCGAAGTGGTTCAGTTATTGAAGGAATTCAAATACTGCTTTTCCTGGGACTACGACGAGATGCCTGGTTTGAGCAGGGAGTTAGTCGAACATAGGTTTCCTATGACACCTGGGAAAAGACCAGTCAAGCAAGGTCCAAGACAGTTTGCACCAGAAATACTGTCAAAGATTAAAGAGGAGGTCGAAAGACTGCTTCGTTGCAAATTCATTCGCACAACAAGGTATGTCGAATGGTTAGCTAATATAGTGTCTGTTATTAAAAAGAATGGTTCTTTAAGAGTTTGTATATATTTTAGAGATTTGAATGCTGCAACTCCTAAAGACGAATATTCAATGCCAGTAGCAGAAATGTTAGTGGATTATGCAGCAGGACTTGAATATCTTAGCATGTTAGATGGATATTTTGGTTATAACCAAATATTCATTGCTGAGGAAGATATTCCTAAAACTGCTTTTAGATGTCCTAGGGCTTTAGGCACATACGAATGGGTAGTGATGCCTTTTGGTCTTAAAAATGCTAGTGCCACTTACCAAAGAGCAATGAATTCTATTTTCCATGATTTTATAGACACTTTCATGCAAATTTACATTAATGATATTGTTATAAAATCTATTTATGGGAAGGATCACATTGAACATCTTCGACGCTCATTCTTAAGGATAAGAAAGTTTGGTCTCAAAATGAATCCTCTTAAATGTGTTTTTTGTGTACAGGCAAGAGACTTTCTAGGCTTTGTGGTCCACAAGAAAGGGATTGAAACAAATCAGAATAAAACCAAAGCTATAATGGAAGCGAAAGCGCCATCAACCAAGAAGGAATTGCAGTCATTATTGGGCAAAATTAACTTCTTGAGGAGATTTATATCCAACTTAAGTGGCAAGACGCAAGCTTTTTCGCCATTGCTTCGTTTCAACAAAGATGGTTCGACTGGAGGCAATTACAACATGAAGCCTTCGACAAGCTCAAGGATTACCTAAGTCACCCACCAATCCTGTCACCACCTTGTAGAAATAAAAGTATGAGATTGTATATAGTTGCATCTAATAAAATTTTTGGGAGCATGTTGGCTCAAGAAGATGAGAATGGAGTCAAAAGAGCCATTTATTATCTTAGTAGAGTTTTAAATGACGCAGAGACTAGGTATAGCATGATTGAAAATTTATGTTTATGCTTGTATTTCTCTTGTACCAAGTTAAAGCAATATATAAAGCCGGTTGAGGTGTATGTTTAGTCTCATTTTGATGTTATAAAACACATGTTATCTAAACCTATTTTGAACAGTCGAATTGGCAAATGGGCATTAGCATTAACAGAATATTCATTAACATATCAACCTTTAAAGGCTATGAAAGGGCAAATAGTGGCAGACTTCATAGTCGACCATTCTGTCAATGAAACATACTTGAATTATGTCAAATTAAAATCCTAGAAATTATACTTTGATGGGTCAAGCCATAGAAATGGAACTGGAGTGGGCATACTGATTATTTCTCCTGAGCAAATTCCAACAAAATTTAAATTCGGCATTGATGGGCCTTGCTCTAATAATGAGGCTGAATATGAGACACTGATTGCTGGCCTTGAAATTTTGTTAGAATTGGGGGCAACTAGAGTCGAAATAATGGGAGACTCAGAGTTGATGGTGAAGCAAATCACAAAGGAATACCAATGTGTTAAAGAGAATCTCATTATGTACTTCGTGATAGCAAATAGGCTATTAAAGAAATTTGAAGAAGTATCCATCCAATACATACCAAGAATAGAGAATCAGATTGCTAATACAAGGTGTCAAAGGAGAACCTTCTTAAGTCAGAACCATCTTAAGTCAAAATGTCACTTTAGCACATGTGAAGGTTTCGACACAACTATGAAGAAATTCGAGTCGAAGAAAGATGGACAAAGTTTCTAAAAAAAATACTAAGTGTTCGAAACATTCTCGACCAAGATGATGCTGAAGGGAGCACAAGGCAGTTATTATCAAAATTGGAGGGAATTCTTAATGTCTAAATTCAAAGTGATAGTGGGCGAACGTGGGAGAAGTTGAAGACTGAGAAAAGCGCCAAAAAGACACGTTGTGATGCCTCAACCGTCATCTAAGTGGTTACTTTATAAATAGGTGTTATTTTTATGTAATAAGGGTGTTCATTCATTTTTGTACTAGTCACTCCATACAACTCAAAGTATCCGCGTGTAGATCAACGAGTTAGCAAGAATGTACGTGATACAACACCAACCCCTTTTCCTTAATGCAATTTACTCGTTCTTGCCATTTACTTGTTGCCCTTTAACCTTCAGCTTTTACATTTAAACTGTTTTACAAGCTTTCCCTCAACTTAAAAATTACTTTACTTTCCATGCCATTTAACTTTTCTGCACCTTTATTTTCAAGGATCCCCTAGTCGAACGTGGAGTTCAGATTAGCATCTTTTGCACCTTTAATATTAAAAGTCATTTACGTTCAAAACCCTTTATTTTCAAAGATTCCATAGTCGAACGCGGAGTTCAAATTATAGTCTTTGGCACATTTACATTATTGCCTTTATTTTCAAAGTCATTTACTTTTAAAAGCTTTTACATTACTGCACTTTTACATTCTTTCCTTTTAACCTTCGACGCATTACTTGCTTTCTTTTAACCTTCAAGTCATCTTACTTTCCAAAATATTTCATAGTCGAACGTGGAGTTAAACTTAGGGTCTTTTTGCATACTTAGCACATGTTATAGGATTTAGTATGGTCGATCCTGCAAGTTAGTCAATTTTACCCTAAATTGATAGACCAGCGGTTGTTTGCCAAAATTCACAGTAAACAGATGGCTCAGAGACTTTATTTCATCTATGGAAAACCTCTAATCATCCGTCAATGGACAACAGACTTTGAAATGAAGGAAGGCATGTTGTGTGTTCTTTCCCTTTGGATAATATTGCCTAATCTTCCATTACATCTGTAGGGAGAGAGGAGCGTCTCAAATATAGCTAGTGTTGTGGGAAAACCTATTACTACTTATGAATGTACAGCTAAAAAGCTTTGTATTTCGTATGCTCGAGTTTTGGTGGAAGTGGATATAACACAGAAGCCTAGAGAAGTAGTTTACATCAAGGATCACAATGGCAAAGCTATGGAACAAAAGATAGAGTATGAATGGAGACCTAGCTACTATCAAACTTATTTGAAAATAGGACATGATTGTGCAAACAAAAAGAACAATGGGAAAAAGCTGCAACAAACAAAAGTGTGGAAACCTGCAGCAAATAAACAAATTGTGGAAGAAATTAAGGAAGATACTCTACCTAAACCAAATGAAGAGGAATATAACAAAGATAAGGTAGATGAAGAGGAATCACTTCAAAAGGAGACTGCCACAGATTGGACATTGGTCACTTCAAGCAGAGTAGACAAAGGAAAAAGGGTTATGATTGAAACTTCAAAAAACTCATTTGTGCCATACCAAAATGCTTTTACTCCCCTTAGGAATGGAGAATGTCCTAGGGAGGAGACAAGCCATGATCAATGATTGTGACATGAAATGTGAGGGGCATTAATAAAGAGGCAAGGCATATAGAGGTTAGCTCCTACCTCTTAAGCTTCAATGTTCCTATTGTAGCCTTGTTAGAGACTAGAGTGAAGAAGCATAATGCTAGTAGAATTAGAAATAAAATGGGGAGCAGTGGGAATTATGAAGAGAACTATGACAATCATGCTAATGGGAGAATATGGTTGTTATATGACCAAAGTGAAATGGAGGTAAAGATCTTGCAGTCTGCTGAACAATTCCTCCATGCTGAGGTTTTTGCTTTGGACCAAACCCTTAGCTACTTGGTAACTGTCATTTATGCCTTCAATCATTTGGAAAAAAGAAAAGATTTATGAAAGGAGGTTGAAGTAATAGGTACAAATGTGAACAAGCCTTGGATTATTATGGGAGACTTTAACAATGAGATAACAAGCCAAGACAGAATAGGTAGGAACAATCTGACTGAGGCTGAATGTAGAGATCTCAAGAACATGATGCACAATATGGGGTTATTTGAAGCTAGTACAAGAGGAAGTCACTACACTTGGTCGAATAAACATATAACATGTGTGATTTATTCTAGGATTGACAGAGTGATAGGGAATGCGGAGTGGTTTCAAAGTATCAAGATGTTAATATTAATGTTCTTGCTCCAAACATTTTAGACCACGCCCCTACAAAAATAGGTCTGCATGTGCAAAAAGCCATGGGAAACCACTTATTTATATTCCTAAATTGTATCACATGTGAACCTTCTTTCTTGCAAACTATTGCTAATAGTTGGCAGCATGAGGCACAAGGAATTTCTATGGTTTTTCTCTGGTCCAAGCTCAAAAGGCTTCAGCCTATCTTGAAGCCTTTGGCTAGAAAATTCTCCAACATCCAGCTTCAAATCCAACAGGCTAGACATGAGTTTCTCAAAGATCAAGATAGCCTCCAGCAAAATCCTTTTGACAGTCAAGCCATAGAGAATGTCAAGAAGCATACAGAAAAAGTGTTAAACCTCAACCAAATAGAGGAATCAATCCTGATGCAAAAAGCCAAGATTAATTGGCTCAAGTTGGGGGACAACAACAATGCTTATTTTCATGTTGCAGTCAAAGAGAAAAATAAACAAAAAGGAATCTACACCATGACTTCTTTGGGTGGTGATTTACTGAGCAATCATGAATCTATTGAGAAAGAAATCATGGAATTCTATAGTAAGTTGATTGGTACTAAAGATAATGACTTAAAGGGAATTGATATTCCTAGTATGAGAGGTGGCAAAACCCTTCCTAGAAAGCTAGTTCGACAGTTGATCAAGCCTGTAGAAGTGAGTGAGATCTGGAAGCCTTGGATCAAATTGGAGATACCAAAGCCCCATGTATGGATGGATTTAACTCCTATTTTTTCAAAACCACTTGGCAGATTGTTAAGCATGATGTGCATAGTGCAGTGCTAGATTTCTTTGCAGCTGGTAAAATGTACAAGGCAGTGAATTGTTCTTTGGTGACATTGATTCCAAAAATCCCTGAAGCCAAAACCATAAAGAACATGAGACATATTTCTTGCTGAAACACAATATACAAGATAATATCCAAGATTCTTACTCGTAGGCTTGGGAAAGTGATCAATCATATTGTGAAAGACACCTAATTTGCCTTCATTCCTGGGAGGACAATATCATGTTAGCCCAGGAGTTGGTGAGAGGGTATGGCAGAAAAAATATTTCACCCAAGATGTATGGTTTAGATGGATATACAAAAGGCTTATGACACTGTTGAATGGCAAGCTTTGTATCAAATTATGGTTGAGATAGGATTTCCTCAGAGGTTCATAACTTGGAGCTTATGTTACAATTGTTTCATATAGATTTGCAATTAATGGAGTTCCATCTGGTATCCTCAAAGCTGAAAGAGGATTGAGACAAGGAGACCCCATCTCCCCTCTACTTTTCGTGCTCATAATGGAATACTTGCATAGAGTTCTACATGGCCGTTGTTCCAATCCAAATTCCAATTTCCATCCCAAGTGTGAAAAGCTCAAAATCCGCAATATGTGCTTTGCTGATGACATCCTTCTTTTCCTAAGAGGAAACATAGGGTCCATGAAGTTAATGATGGAGAAAATCAAGGACTTCATAGCTGCTACAGGTCTCCACATAAGCAACCCAAAGAGCAAGCTTTATTTTGGGGGAGTGGATAAAGATATGCAAAGGAACATTCAAACTGAAAATGGTTTTGATATTGGTATTATGCCATTTTGATATCTTGGTGTCCCTCTTTATAGCAAGAAACTTTCCATAACACACTGTCAACCTTTAATTGAGAAAATGATGATCAGGTTGCATCATTATAGCACCAAGTTGTTGTCTTATGCATGGAGGTTGTAGTTGATCAAGAGTGTCATCTTCTCCATAGCCAATTATTAGATGTGAATATTTCCTTTGCCCAAAAAGGTTATATCTCATATTGAAGGGCTATGCAGAAGCTTTTTATGGATAGGTTAAAGTAACCCTAGCAGGAAAACTCCTATATCTTAGGGGCATATTTGTGACCCCAAAAGTGTTGGAGCGCTGAATTTGATATCCCTTATAGAGTGGAACAAGGCCACTATAGGGAGTTGTTATGGAATATTTAGGCAAAGCAGGACAAACTTTGAATACAATGGATCCACATTTATTATATGAAGCATGAAGATGCTAGAATGTATAAGCCAGGCTAACATTGCTCTTGGATCCTGAAAGTTGTTTTCAAACATAGAAACTTGTTGTCACAGTCCGATGCTTGGAAGGAAATTCAAGACATAGGCAGGTACAGCACGAGAAAAATATACAACATGCTTAGAAGTGATAAACTTAAGGTTTATTGGAGGAAGCTGATTAGTGGGAATTTGGCAAGGCCTCATGCCATCTTTACATTTTGGATGAATTTCCAGAAGCGATTACTTACTAAAGATCGTATGCTTAAATTTGGTATGGTGGATGATGGGTTGTGTGTGTAATGTGGTATGCAAGAAACATGTCACCATCTTTTCTTTGACTGCGAGATCACAAGGCAGATTTGGAGAAACATGCTTAATTGGATGGGTTATAGTCGCAACCTGGGGGGCTGGGATTTGGAGCTTGTTTGAATCATTCAAAATGCTAATGGTAAAGGGTGCAAAAGGAAACTCTTGCATACTGCCACAGCTGAAATGATATATAACCAAATCATTTTCAAAGAGGAAAGAAGGAAGATTTGCATAGTGAAGGGATCATAGAAGTGGTCCTTAGAATAGTTGAACTTAATAGAAAATTAGCAATGTATTGTAATAGAAATTGATGTTTGATTTGGTTTCTCTTGTTTGTTTGTTTTTTCATTTGGGGCCTAGATATTTTGATCGGCTTGTTTTGTATTGATTTTTTAGTAATAATATATACTTTATTCCAAAAAAAACATCAATTTAACATTATCACTTCAATTCATCAAGATTTCTTCATCAAAACATAGCATATCATATGAACAACAACAATCATTTTTTTATAGCATATACCCATACGAATTTCACATTAATAGTATAAAATCGGTATTATTAATAAAGCATAACTCAGAATTATATAATAACAATCTAGAGAGATTTTGCACAAACCATCTCAAAGTTCAAATTTCACATCTATGGAAGAAAATGGGAAGAAAGAAAAGAAAAAGGAAAAAGAGAAGGGATAAAGTGTTGTAAATATTAGACTGTAAATAGTAATTAGTAGTATTAATAATGAGGCCCATTAGTCAAAACCCATTAGGTTTTCTATTCTCTCTTATTTAAAGCATGTAGTTGCAACATTGTAAGTAGAACTTTTAATTCCATCAGTGAAATATTTTACAACATGGTTTCAGAGCTCCTGTTTTTTGGGGGTCTCGCTTCCGCATTAACCCTAGTCATCATTGTAACGGAGTTTTTTTTCTTTCTTTCACTGTCGGTCATCCTTGCAGTTTGTTTTTTTTCTTGGTGTTTGCTTGTTTTTTGTGATATTTTATGTTTTTTCTTTGTGATTCAATACATATCTGTTGTTCGTTCCTCTCGATTGTCCCTTCAATGGCCGAGATTATTAACGAACAGCCATCTCCGCCTCCACCTCCCACAAATCCACCAGTCTCATTTAATGCTAAGGATTTTGTCGTTCAAAAAGGTTACTGGCTTACCGGAAAAAATTATTTTCAATTGTCTCAGTTCATCAGACACACTCTAAAATGTTTTGACATGCTAGATCATATTGAAGGCAATCCTCCTCTGGTTACTGCTCCTAATTTCCCTTCCTGGGATAAAGATGATTCTGCTATTATTACTTGGCTTTGGAACTCCATATCTCCAGAAATTAGTAGAAATTGCATGTATCTCTCAAGTGCAAAGGCAGTTTGGGATTATCTTCGTCGAAGTTATTCCATGAAACAAGATATGTCTGCTTGTTATGATTTAAAGAGGAAAATATTCAACACTAAGCAGGGAAGTCTTTCGGTCAACGATTACTTTGGAGTTCTCAATGGTTTTTGGATTGAGTTGGATCAATATCAGAATTTGAAGATGGAGTGCAGCAAGGATACTGCCACCTTGAATACTGTTGTTGAGCGGGATAGGATCTTTGATTTCTTAGCAGACCTTAATGTTGAATTTGACCCTATTCGGGTGCAGATTTTGGGTAAGGAAAAATTTCCTGATCTTAATGAAGTTTTTTACACTGTTCGTAGTGAGGAGACCCATCGTCAAGCTATGCTTCACGAACAGCCCCCGGATGTGTCAGCACTAGTAGCTAGCAAAACAACAAGACAAGGACCACCATCATCATCATCTAAGAATGGTCGTGAAAAATTCTATTGTGAGCATTACAACCGATCAGGGCATACAAAGGATAGGTGTTTCAAACTACATGGGAGGGAACAGGTTCTTAGCCGAGGAGGTAGTTCTCGCAACATGCACCAGCATCAGGCACATGTTGCCACACATGCCCATGATACTGAAAGATTTGAAAAATGGGGAATTGA